GGAGCATCACAAGATGCTGACGCTTGAAGTGGCTGAGTCAATGAGCTCAGATCCTGCCTGCCATGCTAACTGATGTCTGCTGCTTGTTAGCCACGCCTCCTCGTGCAGCTGCAGCCTGTGGTGCTGGAACACTTGATTCTCAGTTCCAGCTATCTGGACACTGTCCCCAGCCCCAGGAGCCAAAAATCAAGAACCCATACCTCCCACCTGCTCATGTGGTCATGTTCAGGCCTGGCAGGTGGTGGTGGGAGCCCCATCTATAGCAGTTTCCAGGCTCTGGAGCTCTGGAATGGAGACAGCTGTGACCATCCCAAACCTTAGGCCACAAGAGCCAGCTCTTCTCTGTTTTGGATTAAGGTAGACTAAGAAGGCTTTTTGTCCTTTTGATAGAAAGAGTCCTAAGCAGATGCATGAAATGAGATGGTTTCTGATGGTTGTCATGTGAAGTAGAAATCCTTCCTGTGCCCCAATGCTCCAGGGGAGCACAGAGGAAACACTGAAAAGGGCAGAGATGTGTGTGTGTGTGTGTGTGTGTGTGTGTGTGTGTGTGTGAGAGAGAGAGAGAGAGAGAGAGAGAGAGAGAGAGAGAGTGGGGTAGGGTGTGTGGGGGTGAAGTGAGAAATGGGATTGAGGCAGCAATCCAGGACCTGTCTTACTCATTTTTCTGTTGCTATAGCAGAATGTCCAAGAATGAGGACTTTATAAAGAAAACGGGGTTATTTGGCTCACAGTTCTGAAAGCCTGGAATCTAAGAACACAATGCCAGACTCTGTTCCATTTCTGGAGAGGGTCTCATGCTGATACACACATGGCAGAAAGTGGACGAGGGGATGTGTGTGCATGCTTGGGGGCTGGGCCAGGAGGCAGAACAACTAATTGCCCCTGCAGTCCACTCATGAAAGCTTCCCCCCACCCCATGACCCATACACCTCCCACTACAGCCTGTGTCAGAATGCTGCTACGTGGACTAATTAAGCCCCAACATGATTTTGGCGAATTTTGGCGAAGAGGAACCATATTGGATCCACAGCAGGGATCAGCTTGCTCAAGGATTGAGCCCAGCATGTCAAACACTTTGATTGCTCCACTACTCTGAGACCTTCCATGTGGGCATTTGATCACTTAAAAATTAACATGGCAACATTAACTTTACTGAGCATCCTATAGTCACAGAGCTGGCAGCCTTTTTCCTGGCCAAGCTCATGTTGGCAGTGGTTCAAAGGCATTTAAAGTAGACACTAATTTCCCTAAAGGTTCCCAGGGAAATGTGCTCTCCAAATATGGAGTAGGAGTAAACTCCGGCACACATTATTCTAAATGCTGATCTCTGACTGCAATTAGAGGAAGTCAGGACCAGATGAGTTCTATGGCTACTAGGACCACTGTCTAGATGGCTGAATCAAGAGTTTGAAAGACTCTCACCTGCTTGTGTGTATATAGGAGCATTGATTTGGTGAAGGAAAGTGTCTTTGTTTTCTGCCTAGGAAGGGCAACCTGTGTGTTTGTGTCCCTCTCTTCCCACATTTTTCTCTAGGCCTTCGATCCACAATTCACAGTCAGATCCCTGACAGGAGGAGTAGCTTGCTCAAAGACACACAGCTGGAAAGGTGGCGCTGAGATGTTAGCTCAGTACTGTGTGATTCAGGCATTCACACTCTTCTAGCCATGGTGACTTGTGACCTACTGGGGTAGACATGAGCTGGGGCTGGATCATATGGGCTGAGGCTTCAGGCAAGGCCCATCCTGCATGACCTGAGTGATCCCGTCCTGTGTAGTCTTGAGGCATTAATACAAAAATACACAGGAAGGCTCTGTAAGAGTGACAAGCCAAGGGTGGCCAGTGACATTCTTCCACAGGTATGGAAGAGAAGGGTTTGGACTTGGCCTCCATCCATTGGACAAAAGTGCTCAAAGTGCCCTGTGAGTTTTAAAATTAGATTTAGTTATTTATTACAGAGAGAATGGGGTGGATGAGGGAGAAGAGAGATTCTGTAATGACTGGGAAGTGACCAAGATTCTGAGCTTTCAGACATCTACACATACCTAGGGCTGTTTATGGTGCCCCTCTAATCGTTGACATCTTCTGGAGTGGCAGGTACTCCTGTGGGGGAAGATTTGTTCTAGGCCCTTCCCTGGACACTCCAGTAGATCCTTGGCTTGCGACACTGCCCCTCATGATGCTCTCTCTGTGTATGAAGCCGTACTCAGGTTTCCCCCTTTTATAAGGACACCAGCCACACTGGAGTTGCATGCCACCCCTGCGTCCACTGTTTTACATAGAGCATTCCTGTTTGTGGCTGCAAACCGTCCACCTAGCGTGACAGCAGCAATACATTAGTACACAAGTCTGTACCAGTAAGAGCAATTGTGGACTCTCCTGCCTTCCAAGGCTTCTCAGCAGGCCTGGAAGTGGGGACCTTCATGCTCCCTCTAGACCCCGAGACTCAGCCAGCAGCTGAGCAGCTCTGAGCCTCTGCTTCATTCTTCACCAACAAAACAAAGGTGACAAAGGCTGTTTTTCAAGATGTTATGTAAGGTATAACAGATAGACATAAGACGTTGGGCAGCTGTGGCAGAGAGCCAAAGGGTCATGCCATGACCCATCTTCTTTCCAAACCGGAATATAGGTTCCTCCAGGCTCTCTTGAAAGCAGTTGTTGCTGGCTCACCAAAAACCAAACCAAACCAAACCAAACCAATCAACCAAACAGAAAACCAAAAGTCAAAAAGAAGCCTCGAGTGAGGGAAGACCTGGGACCCAGCACAGAAGCAAGTGGTTACAGTTTATTTACGAACCTTGCATTTCAGTGATTTCACCATCTGCCTTTCCTTTTCACGCAGTCTAAACAGTTTTGGATACATTTCAGGTGTGCTTTAGTAAAACCATTAGGATCTAAAACCACACACCACTAGGTAATCTGAGACTCTGTGCTTGCCGCGGACACTTGAGAGAAATCTTGCAGACTTTATAGTATTTAGAGACTGTTGGGAATCAGGTGATGACAACGGTGCTTTTTCAAGGCAGTGCCCTAAAGATGAGGCCAGAGCATCTTCTCAGCATCAGCTGATGCTCTCCATGGGTTTCAGCCAAAGGAACACAGAGAGAAAAATGACCAGAAAAGGTGCTGCAGAGCGGTAGGTGTGAACCTTCATGGAAGGAGCAGGGAGCGACTCGGCGAAACCAGTTAGTTAGCCTGGGGGCAGCCTGGGGGTGTTCTGCTGGGGAGTCTGCTCAAAAACAGGGATTGGCTGGTTATCAAGTGGTTCCAGCAGACCTTGAGTGTGGACTATTGGAGATGTTGAGTGGGAACGTTTTATGAAAACGACAAGTTCACGTGGCTCAGATTAACTCCAGAGAAAACAGGAGCACCTCAAATTCTAACCCTTGCGCCTTAGATGAATAGGAGGGCAGTGCTCTTACCGTGGGAATTCTCAGGGTCTTCTAAAACAGAGTTAAGTCTGGGCAGGATGGACTAAAACTGAAAAATTGAAGTAGGGCCTCTAGCAGGAGGAACAGCGTCCGGGCTGCAAAATTTTGAGACATAGTTCCTGGTGGACCCGTGGGATTCAGAGGAGGCAAGGGCTCCTTGCATCCTTTCTTCTTTCGTGATCCTCTGGATCCTCTCTAAAGGGGAACTGACGCAGCAGCCTCAGGAGGCCATCCTGAGCACCAAATGAAATTCTGTAGGGTCTCTTTGCTTAAGGAATGGAGTCACTAGGTGCAAACATCAGACGTAGGCCGGCCCAGGGCCTGTCCCTGCCACTTGTTCGGCTGGAAGGAAACATCTTGCCATCATTTGCATGGCCAGCTCCTATTTTAGGGAGACAGCAGGCTGTTTTATCTCTCCTCTGAGCCCTCACCCATCCCAGCACCCAGCTTCCCTGGACATTGCAGGGCTCTGTTATCGCTCAGGTCAACAGGCAGAGCCTCCACCACCCACCCAGATGGTGGGCAAACCTGCCACTTAGAGCGCCCTGCATGTATGACCAGGGATCCTCCTCGGGCTTCTTGGTGGGCACTGACTGAGTCTAAAGCTGAGTGTGGGCTCCTCTCGGGTAACCTGGCTCTGTTTGGGGAGGGGACACACATCTGGCAGGGTATTCCTTCCTACTGGGAATTTCGGAATTTCGGCTTTTATTTATTTATTTTTAAACGCCTCCGAAGACTCGTAGTGGGGTGGGCTTCACTGCACATAGGTGGAAAAATCAAGGCTCGGAGAGGCAGGAGCGGTGCCCAAGGTCACGTGCCCCCTTGGGCATGCGAGGACCCGGGACGCTGAGTTTGGGGCCGACTCCGTCCGCCCAGGAGCGGGGCTTCTGGGACTTGCCTGTCGCAGCGCGGTAGCCGCGGAGGACCACTGCCGGGGCGCGGGCGGGCGCCAGTGCGCAGGCGCGGCGGGCGGGAGGGGACGCGCTCGGGGCGCGCGCGCTGGGCAGCCGGC